AGGGGACTGCTGTCACTGACAGTGCACCCTGCCAGAGTCCCAAGAGGCCTGCCAGCCTCACCCCGGGCCCTGCCTCTCCCGGCCCCTGGAATAGGCTTTCAGGTGCCTCTCCTGCCCTCCTTTGCAGATACCCCATCGTGAGCCCACGAACCCCATGTGTGGGTGATAAAGACAGCAGCCCGGGAGTCAGGACCTACGGCATCCGGCCACCGTCCGAAACTTACGATGTCTACTGCTACGTGGACAGGCTCGAGGGTACAAGCCACATTCTGGCATCTGGGGCCCCAGCCAGGCAGGGGGCTGGTGGGGAGACACAAAGAGGAGGGGAAATTACCGTCCCCCCAGCTCGCTTCCCACCCAGGGGCAGAAAGGCCGGCCCAGCCCCTCTCTCGGGCCAAGCTCCTTCTCTCCCTCCGGAATGGTTCATGCGGGTCCCCCAGGATTGCAGGCGAGGTCTCCACCATCCGCCTCTCGGAGAATCCCAGTGCCCCGGAACAAATGAAAGCCTCTGAGAAGTCCTGCAATAGAAAAACCTCTTTAACTTTGCTTAGCCAAGTGCCCAAGCTTAGTCAACCACAGGCATTTTATTTTGTTGCGTTTCACGTCTTTTCATTTCAATTATAATCATCAAATTACTATCGCATAGAACCCAATTTTGGAAATGCTGGCATTATTCTGGAAAGATTTTGGTATAGCCACTCACGTGTTTTGGGGACCTGGGGCAGGTTACTTAACCTTTCTGGGCCTCGGTTTCCTCATCTATAAAATAGGGCTGATTGTGCCTCATATCAGAGATTTCTGGGAGTATTAAATGAGATATGTATGAGAAGGGCCCGGTACAGTAGGTGTCCACTAAATGTGAACCTCCTCCCCCCAATTCAGACGAGCAGCTGGGTACAGTTCTGGGTGCAGGGACCGAAACCCCAAGAGTGGCTACAGGACCCACCCCTCCCCTCGAGGAGCCCCCAGGGTGGGGGTGGGGGTTGCAGGTCCACAGCATTCGGGTGCTCCATGCTTAAGTGCTGTGGTGTAGGGAGCACAGGGGGGTCGGAGGGAAGGTGCCCAAGGGAATGCCTCTCTTAGCAGAGGCGGGGGGTGCTCAAGTGTGAGGGGCAGTCTAGAAAACAGAGAAGGAGGGAGGCTGTTTCCATGTAGAGTGACCAGCTGGCTTCAATTCTCTTGCCCCGGCCCCTGGGTGAGCTGAGGCTGCTCTGGCTGTGGACATGAGGGTCACACCTGCACCTGCGTCTGCCCCCAGGGGAGGTGTTCTTTGTCACACGCCCGGAGCAGTTCACCTTCGAGGAGGCCCTGGCATTCTGTGAATCCCACAACGCCACACTGGCCTCCACGGGCCAGCTCTACGCCGCCTGGAGCCGGGGCCTGGACAAGTGCTATGCTGGCTGGCTGTCCGACGGCAGCCTCCGCTACCCCATCGTCACCCCGAGGCCCTCCTGTGGCGGAGACAAGCCAGGCGTGAGAACGGTCTACCTCTACCCCAACCAGACAGGCCTCCCAGACCCACTGTCCCGGCATCATGCCTTCTGCTTCCGAGGTACGTGTTCTCACCTCTCCTCCAGCCTCCCTTCTGCCTGGGGGTGACTCCTCTGGCTTCACCCCTTCACACCTTCACTCCTGCCCGCGGTCCCCATCCATCAGAGCAAGGAGGGAAAAGTCAGTCCCTCTGGGGCAGGGCCAGCTCCGGAGCTAGCATGATCTTGAGCGTTGACCCCAAGGCAAGTACATCCTTCTCAAGTTCCTCTGAGACAGGCAGAGAGAGGCGAGTGAAAGCTTGGGCTCTAAAACCAGGTTGACCTGAATTTTGATTACAGTTCTTCTGCGTAATAGCTGTGTGACCCTGGGCAAGTCACTTAACCTCTCTGTTCCTCTGTTTCATCTATAAAATAGTGATGTAATAGTTCCTACCTGAAAGGGTTGCTGTACCGATGAACTGGGATAGTGCACACAAAACACTTGGCATTGTGCTTGGGACATAGTAAATTCTCAGCAAATGTTAGCTTTACTGTTGTAAATAACACCCATATACACATGCACATACATATATACTGTTTTAATTTGTAACCCTTGCCAAAGTTTCTCCTGCTTCCAGATATTTTTGTGAGGAGTTGAGTCCAAGTGTTCTATTATGCTTCACTAAACACCAGAAACTCAGATTTTTAATTGACCTGTGCTGAGGACCCAGTGCAGATCAAACCACTTTACTAGCCGGAGTTCCCAGAATTCTGTCATCAAACGGCCCAGGGGGTGTGGCTAGGGCGTGGCCAAGGCTTAGGGCGGGGCTCTGAAGGGATGAGATCGGCGGGTCTGAAAGCACTGACTGGAACCTAGATTGTAGTCTCAGCTTGAGCCGTGTTTTATACATGATGCATCAAAGCTGAGTGTCTTTGTAGCTTCCTGTGAATGTAGAATTATTCCAAAACAAAGTTAATGAAAAATAAGACCCGAGCTTTGCCAAGTTTCTCAGACTTCCAGGGTCACCTTTTAAAACCCAGCTCAGAGAAAGCTCAGCCCCGCACCGCCAGCCTCACGAAAGCCAAACCCCTCCCAGAGGATGATGTGTCGAGGCTCTTGTGCCAGTACCGCTGTCGGGACCCCCGGGCAGCAGAAGCCACACCAGTTAGCCTCCCTGTAAATGTTTACCCATGCACTCCCCCCCCCCCCACCCTCCTGCACAGTCCCCGACCTTCCGTGAACTCGGCCTTTTCTGTAACTGCCAAGAGGTTTTGGCCTCTTTCCCGACCAAGCCCACCTCCGGTTTCCCCCAAACCAAAACAGTTACCCCCAGTCAATAAGTCCCTCCTTCACCCTCCAGTGCTGGGGTGACTTCATGGATTTTAAATCACAGCCTCCTATTTTTGACCCATAATTTCTGTCCCCAGGAAAGGCAGCGTCATGCCGTAGGTGAGAGCGGGGGCTGGTGCCAGGTGCTTTCCTTCAAAGACTAGATCTGCCTCTTATAAGCCACTGACCCTGGGCGAGTCATTTAACTCTGTGCCTCAGTTTCCCTAGCTGTAAATGATATAGTACCTATCTCATAAGGCTGTTGTGGGATAAAATGATTTTATATACATAACACCTTTAAACAATGCCTGGCATGTATAATAGATTTTGCAGGAGAGATGTCCCAGACCACCCTGAAATAATGTGTGTGTGTATCGAAATTGTGTAATTGATGCAGACAGCTCTTATTGAGGAAGACAGAAGCCATCTCACTGGGTTTGGGGGTGGGGGGGCTGTCGAGGTCTAGCAAGGTTTTTGCACCAGCCTGGCCCCTCTTGGAATCTTCTAGTCCCCCTTGAGAAGGGCCAACCTGGGATGGGTCACTGGTAGGAAGGAATTCTCACCACCCTCATCTCTTTAGGTGTCTCAGCAGCGCCCTCTCCAGGAGGAGAAGAGGGTGGCACAGCCACGCCCTCTGTGGAGGACTGGATCGCTACCCAAGTGGTGCCTGGTGTGGCTGCTGTCCCCTCGGGAGAGGAGACCACGACAAGCCCAGACTTCACCACTGAGCCAGAAAACCAGACGGAATGGGAACTGGCCTACACCCCAGTGGGCACTTCCCCACCACCAGGTCTGTGTGGCTAGGGCTCTGGGGTGTGTCCTAGGGTGGGACATGTGCTCTGTGTCCCCAGCCCTCTGTGTCACACGAGCTGAATGTGCTGCTCTGGGCAACGTCAGCCCCCGCAACTGGCCTCTAGGACAACGGTCAAGGGAAGAAAGGGGCAGCCTTGTTCATAAAGCACCTCTCACTCTGTCTTCCTGCATTTACACCCCTACCTTCCAGCCTTTTAAAAGCTCTCTTGTGGGAGGATCTCTAATAGAGGGGTGAGGACCCAGAGGGGTAGTTGAAAGTGTGACCGTGACCTGTCTCCTTGCTTTGTTCCTCCTTCTATGTGTCTCTTCTGGGCCAGGCATCCCCAGCCAGAACTTCCTGAGCCCCATCTGTCCTGATAAAATCAGATGGGACTCGATGGGATGAAAGCTTCTAGGCCCCTCACCCTGTTGGAAAAAGTGTTTTGTGGCCATAAGGGAAATGCTGGCTTACAGAAAGATTAACAGGTTTCCTCACTGCAGACCTTCTCAGGGCCATTGGATATGCTAATATTTATTTATATATTTATATTTTGAGAGAGAGAGAGAGTACCAGCAGGGGAGGGGCAGAGAGAGAGGGAGAGAGAGAGAATCCCGAGCAGGCTCTGTCTGCACTGTTAGCACAGAGCCCGATGTGGGGCTCGAACTCATGAACCGTGAGATCGTGACCTGAGCTGAAATCAAGAGTCGGACGCTTAACCGGCTGAACCATCCAGGCATCCCCGCGTAAGGCTGAATTAAATGCACAGTAATGTGTGTGTGCTTACTAGAGTCACCTCACCCAGGGGCACGTTCATTTGAAGGAACGAGTCCATCAGAGCTTCCCAGTTCCTCATCTAGTCACTCAGTGCACTGTTCCCCAGCAATTCAGCCGTGCTCGGCGCTCCTCTGGGTGCTAGAAAGGCAAAGCCTGGCCTCCCTCCATGCCAGAAGGTGAGGGTGTATCCGTGGGGCAGGTGGGATTCTGGCTCAGAGACCTCACCCGGCAGCCACACCCACCTGTGACCCTTTCCTTACCTCCCCCTTCACCAGGACAAAAATAACAGTCCTCTTTGGCTTGAGTGTGTGGCTTGGCACAGGATCCTGGCAGCAGCTAGTGGGAGTTTCCACGGGAAGAGGCTCCAACGGACCCATAGAAACATTTTGCAAACCGGTTCCCTACCACCTTGCTGATTGACCATATCGGGAACCATCTGTACTGTTATTAACTCTACGTCCTTTTCTTTAAATTGACTTGCTTTTAAAAAGAAACCTAACAAGATGGGGCCCCTGGGTGGCTTAGTCAGGTAAGTGTCCGACTTCGGCCCAGGGCATGATCTCATGGTTCGTGGGTTCGAGCCCCACGTGGGGCTCTGTGCTGACAGCTCGGAGCCTGGAGCCCGCTTCGGATTCTGGGTCTCCCTCCCTCTCTGCCCCTCCCCCTCCCCCGCTCATGCTCTCTCTCAAAAATAAATAAGCATTTATATACATATGCCCAACTAAAGTCCTCTTGAATGCCATGACTGCTATCCTGAACCCCCTGCCCACCGCCAAGATTCTGCCTGGAGGGGTAGCACCCGCTGTGCTCAGGCTCTCTACCTAAGAAATGAGCCCAAAGGAACACGCGAGGTCCAACCCCAGATAGGTTGTTTTTAAATGCCCAAGGAAACAACATGGAAAGAAAAATAATGCAGTCCTGGTCATTTAGCATGATGGGGCTTCTTTCCTCTGTTCTCCAAATCCTCTGTAATAGCAACTCTCAGAATTGAAAAAGTTGATGCACTTGATGTATTTTTGCAAACAACACCAGCTGGCCTCCCCTGCCTTGAAGGGATGGTTTTGGATGAATGATTCTCAGACTTGAGGGGTCATCGGTGTTGTCAGGGTTCGGGGGTGGGGGAGCTTATTAAAAGATAACATGCTGGGGCGCACCTGGGTGGCTCAGTGGGTCGAGCGTCCAACTTTGGCTCAGGTTATGATCTCACCGTTTGTGAGTTCGAGCCCCGTATCAGGCTCTCTACTGTCAACCGGTCAGCATAGAGCCCAGTTCAGATCCTCTGTCCCCTTCCCTCTGCCCCTTCTCTGCTTGTGCTCTCCCCAAAATAAATAAATATTAAAAAAAAAAAAAAAGACAACAAGCTGGGGTGCCTGGGTGGCTCAGTTGGTTAAGTATCCAACTCTTGATTTTTGCTCAGGCCATGATCTCATGGTTCCTGAGATCGAGCCCTGGGTTGGGCTGTGCACTGAGTGTGGAGCCTGCTTAGGGTTCTCTCTCTCTCTCTCTCTCTCTCTCTCTCTCTCTCTCTCTCTCTCCCCCTCTCCCTCTCCCTCTCCCTCCCTCCCTTTGCCCCTCTTCCCCACTCGCACTCTCTCTCTCTCAAAAGAAATAAATAAACATTTAAAAAAAAAAAAAAAAAGACAACATGCCGCCCCCACCCCAGACTTCTTGAACCAGTGGGACTGGGGTGAGATCTGAGAATCTGCTTTTCTATCAACCTCCCAGACAATGCTGGTGTTGCTGGTTCAGAGACCACACTTTGCAAATCATGGATTTAGATAAGAGTTCCGAGTATGGAGGTGCCTGAGAGGTGCCCTTGATTACTTTTCATGGGAGCCAGGCCCCTACTTCCGTGGGGATGGCATCCCCTGGAGCCTCACAGAGCAGAGCGGCCAGGTGAGGCGCTTCCTGGTCCCCTCCTTCCTTGCCTTCCCCAGACACTGAGCAAGGCTCCACTAGAAAATGTCTAAACACACCTCTCAAGCAACATTTTGCTGTGGAAGGAACGAGTGAGCTTAAATAGGGCAGGGTTACTAAATCCACACCTCATCTTTCTTCTTCCTTTCTTCCAGGGATCCCTCCAACGTGGCCTCCCACCAGCGCAGCAACAGAGGAGAGCACAGAAGGCCCTTCTGGAACGGAAGTGCCCTCAGCCTCAGAGGAGCCGTCCCCCTCGGAGGAGCCAGCCCCCTCGGAGGAGCCCTTCCCCTGGGAGGAGCCATCCACACTTGCCCCCCCAGTGCCCAGTGGGACTGAGCTGCCAGGCTCTGGGGAGGCATCCGGGGTACCCGAAGTCAGTGGTGACTTCACAGGCAGTGGAGAAGTTTCAGGACATCTGGACTCCAGTGGACAGCCCTCAGGGGAAATTTCAAGTGGACTGCCCTCTGGAGATCTTGACTCCAGTGGTCTCACCTCTGCAGTGGGCTCAGGCCTGCCTGTGGAAAGTGGACTGGCCTCCGGGGATGAAGATAGAATTACAGGGCCCAGCATTCCTAAAGTTGGAGGTGAGGGCCTGGAGACCTCTGCCTCTGGAGTAGGAGACCTCAGCGGGCTGCCTTCTGCAGAAGGTCCAGAAGTCTCTGCCTCTGGAGTAGGGGACCTCAGCGGACTACCTTCTGGAGAAGGTCCAGAAGTCTCTGCCTCTGGAGTAGAGGTCCTCAGCGGGCTGCCTTCTGCAGAAGGTCCAGAAGTCTCTGCCTCTGGAATAGGGGACCTCAGTGGACTTCCTTCTGGAAGAGAAGGTCTAGAGACCTCTGCCTCTGGAGTAGGGGACCTCAGCGGGCTGCCTTCTGGAGTGGAGGGTCATCATCCAGAGACTTCTGCTTCTGGAGTAGGGGACCTCAGTGAATTTTATTCTGGAGGGGAGGGTCTGGAGACCTCTGCTTCTGGAGCTGAGGAACTCAGTGGGTTGCCTTCTGGAAAAGAAGACTTGATTGGGTCAGCTTCCGGAGACTTGGACTTAGGCAGAATACCTTCTGGAACTCTAGGAAGTGGGCAAGCTCCAGAAGCAAGTGGCCTTCCATCTGGATTTAGTGGTGAGTATTCTGGGGTGGACCTTGCAAGTGGCCCATCCTCTGGCCTACCTGACTTTAGTGGACTTCCCTCTGGATTCCCAACCGTCTCCCTGGTGGATACTACATTGGTGGAAGTGGTCACGGCCACCACTGCAAGTGAACTGGAAGGGAGGGGGACTATTGGCATTAGTGGTGCCGGAGAAACATCTGGGCTGCCCTTCAGCGAGTTGGACATTAGTGGGGCAGTTAGCGGACTCCCGTCAGGAGCTGAACTCAGTGGCCAAGCCTCTGGGTCTCCTGACATCAGTGGGGAAACATCTGGATTCTTTGGTGTCAGTGGACAGCCATCAGGATTTCCTGACATCAGCGGGGGAACATCTGGGCTTTTTGAAGTCAGTGGGCAGGCATCAGGGTTTTCTGGGGAAACATCTGCAGTGACTGAGCTCAGTGGACTGGTCTCCGGCCAGCCAGATGTCAGTGGAGAAGCTTCTGGAGTTCTTTCTGGCAGTGGTCAACCATTTGGCATAACCGACCTGAGTGGGGAAACATCTGGGGTCCCTGGTGTCAGTGGCGCGACCTCTGGAATCCCTGACCTGGTTCCCAGTGCCGTGAGTGGCAGCGGTGCATCTTCTGGCATTACATTTGTGGACACCAGTTTGGTCGAAGTGACCCCAACTACATTTAAAGAAGAAGAAGGCTTGGGGTCTGTGGAACTCAGTGGACTCCCTTCAGGGGAGGCAGGTCTGTCAGGCACATCTGGGATCATGGATGTCAGTGGACAGTCTTCTGGAGCAGTTGACTCCGGTGGGTTTACCTCCCCGCCTCCAGAATTCAGTGGCCTGCCAAGTGCAGTAGCTGAGGTCAGTGGAGAATCCTCCGGGGCAGAGATTGGGAGCAGCCTGCCCTCAGGAGCATATGACGGCAGTGGACTTGCTTCTGGTTTCCCCACTGTCTCTCTGGTAGACAGGACTTTGGTGGAATCTGTAACCCAGGCCCCAACAGCCCAAGAAGCGGGAGAAGGGCCTTCGGGCATTGTGGAACTCAGTGGTGCCCATTCTGGAGCACCAGACGTGTCTGGAGACCATTCGGGATTTTTGGACCTGAGCGGGCCGCAGTCCGGGCTGGTGGAGCCCAGTGGGGAGCCATCAAGTACTCCGTATTTTAGTGGGGACTTTTCTGGCACTGTGGATGTTAGTGGCGATTCTTCTGCAGCCACGGGCACCAGTGGAGAGGCCTCAGGACTTCCAGAAGTCACTTTAATCACTTCTGAGTTCGTGGAGGGTGTCACTGAACCAACGGTGTCCCAGGAACTTGCACAAAGACCCCCTGTGACACACACACCCCGGCTTTTCGAGTCCAGTGGAGAAGCCTCTGCGTCTGGGGAAATTAGTGGAGCCACCCCCATGTTCCCCGGGTCTGGGGTAGGATCGGTCCCGGAATCCAGCAGTGAGACACCTGCCTTTCCTGAGGCTGGACCGGGGGCGTCTGCTGCCCCTGAGGTGAGCGGAGGGGCTTCCGGGTCCCCTGATGTAAGTGAAGCCACCTCCACCTTCCCTGACGCTGATGTGGAGGGAGGCTCAGGCCTGGCGGTGAGCGGCAGCACCTCAGCCTTTCCGGAAGGCCCCGGGGAGGGCTCGGCCACCCCGGAAGCACAGGAGGAGCCAACCACCACCCACGATGTGGGCACAGAGGCATCGGGCTGGGCTTCGGCCACTCCAGTGGCTTCTGGAGACAGGACTGAAATCGGCGGAGACCTGTCTGGTCACACGTCAGGGCTGGACATGGTCATCAGCACCAGCGTCCCAGAGTCTGAATGGACCCAGCAGACCCAGCGCCCTGCAGAGGCACACCTAGAAATCGAGTCCTCAAGCCCCTTGCACTCAGGAGAAGAGACCCAAACAGCCGAAACAGCCACCTTCCCCACAGATGCTTCCATCCCAACTCCTCCAGGAGGGACAGATGAATCCGCGGTAACCATTGCAGGTATTGTTGGGATTTCTTTTTTTCCTTAAATGTGTTCGGGGAGTTCAGGCTGTAGCATAGTAGGAGGCAGTGTAAATTCAAGCTTCACTACAGATTAGCTGTGCAGCCTCAGGTAAGTTTCTTAACCTCTCTGAGCCTCCCCTGTAAAAGGGGAATAGTACCAGGGACTACTAAACAGGATATAAATATATACCGAGCAAGCACTTAGCGTCCTGCTTCTCACGTGGCACACACTTAGTGATTAGTGGTTGTTACTGTTACAGTGGCGTTACATCACAAGAACATTGATATGTGACTTCAACTATCTGTACTTGGCAGAGGGAGAGAGGAGGATGACTGTTTACACGATGCTAGAAATTCTACTCACGCCCCTTCCCCGTGGAGTTTCTCTTTCTTCGTGAGAGGAGAGAACAAATCTGATGACATCTATGCCCAGATATTTATTTCGTGTAGGGATAAGACCTGCACAATTTAGGAAAGTATGAAGTGTCATCTTGGCTGTCCTAAAGTGTCATTTAGTCCCCACCCCAGTACAGGTGACTTCTCTGTACAATGGTGATGGTCTCACCTCGATGCAGCCCAAGCACCAGGCACTGGAAGCCGATGAGTTTCCCCTGCTTTTTGCCTTGGGATCCCTTGCCCCTCCCTCTGGGCCGAGAGACCTTTCCCGGTCAAAGAGCCCCACCCCCACCCCCAGGATGCTAGGGCTAGGTGCCCAAGAAGGACAGAGACTCCAAAAACATGCTGACCCAAAGCAGCCTTGTGGGCTTCAGGGGTCCTTGTGCCCCGACCTTGAGGTCACAACCCCAGGCCGCTGTGTTCTTGACGCTCAGCATCTCCCTGAGAGCCGCAGCTCCTGCCAGGTCCTGTGCCAAGGAGCCCTGTGGCAGTGCAATCTGCCAGGAGACAGAGGGACACATCACATGCCTGTACCCCCCTGGCCCCACCGGCAAGAACTGCAACATAGGTAAGACCCTCATCGGCCATGGGGGTGCAGGCAGGGGCAGGAGGGCGACTCCTTCGTCCCTAGAAGGGGCCACAGGTCAGAGGAGGCAACCGAGGCCAGCAGAGGCTCGGGCTTCTCAGACCGGAGAGGAGAGGTATGCAGTGACGCATCAGTGTAGAAGCCACAGGGTAAACATTCTACTCTACGTGGAGTTTAGGAGATAAAGTTCAAGTAGTTAAACTAAAAGGTAGTTCATCTTTTTGTTAAGCTAAAGATTGTTTTTAAAATTTTTTAATGTTTATTTTGAGAGAGAGACAGACAGGGCATGAGCGGGGGAGAGGCAGAGAGAGAGGGAGACACAGAATCCGAAGCAGGCTCCAGGCTCCCAGCTGTCTGCTCAGAGCCCGACACGAGGCTCGAACTCATGTGAGATCATGACCTGAGCCAAAGTCGGATGCTTAACTGACTGAGCCACCCAGGCGCCCCAAGCCAAAGATTGTTTTATGAGTCAAACACAACATATGCTTGAATTTTGAAGGGAAAACATCACTTCTGAGAAGTGTGGAGCGAGGATGTAGACGGGAAAGAGCAGGTCATGCCTCCGAGAGGGCTGTCTTGCATCGGGCCGAGCCACCCTCTCTGGGAAAGCGCTGCAGACCCCTCCGTGCCTGGCCCTGAGCGGAGTTCGGGTCCCCTTCTTGCCCTGAGGGAAACGGCAGGCAGTACTTACTTGTCATCCCCAGCTCCAGGGTTCACGGTGGCAAGTCGGCCGTGACCTGGCAGCCCCCTGCCCCTGGGCACCCACCACCCTGGGGCCCTCTGTCCTTAGCCATGGGTGAAGCAGCTTGTGGGACAGGTGAGGAGCCTGGGGAGTCCTCTGACTGGAGGTGGCGCCCCGAACGAGATGATGAGATTCTACCCGTGTTCCCTGAACACTTGGAGGTCTGTGGCCATGCGAACACTTCATTTTGTCAGATCGCCACCCGGAAGGGAAGAGATGCCCAGTTACCTCCAAGCTCATTCTCTTGGGTTGGGTCTCCGCACTGCCCCCACGCCCTCACCGCAGCCTCTGTCCCAGGGTCTTTCCTAGGACATGTGCAAAATCAGAGCCATGAGTCCTGGGGGGAAGCAAATACTACTAGGCAAATAGGGCTGGGCACCTATCCTCCAGGAGCCGTTACGTCGTGCACAAGGAAAGATTTTTGTGTTTGTATATATTGACATATATGTAAATACCTCCTAATATATGCTCATGTAATACAAATATGCTGTATATACACAGCATACACAGGAAATATTCTGTATAAACAGGCACTAGGTTGACTATGAATTCACTCTTTTCTCCACTTGGGTCAGCCTCTGGCCAAGTGTCAAGGCTGTGACTAAGAGCACTGGGGGCCTCTGTGGCCAGAGGGGTGGACTCTCCTAGGACAGTCCTGGCCCTGCCACCTAGGAGGCAGTATGTCACAGGGCCACAGTCACCTCAGGGGCTAGAGTCACGGGCCTCGTCATCCACCTCGATGGGAGGGCAGGGCACTGCCTCTGTCCTGAGAGAGGCTGCCCCTGCAGGAACCCTGGGGAGGCCCTGTGTGTGTGCTTTCCAGCTAGTGGGGCTCTGACTCCTCGGTCAGCAGTGGGAATGGCTCTGTCTGTCCTGTGAGTGGCAACCCTGGCGGACATCATGTCTGGTGTGCAAGCACTTCCTCCCTCCGGGTGTGCGGGGGGGAGGACAGCAGGGCCGCCTGTCTCGAGTGAGGTGTTAAGGGAGCTCAGCCTGAGTCGGAGAGGAGCAGACTCGGAGCCCAGCAGGACTTCCTGGACAGTAGCCAGGACTAGAACGCCCTCGCCCTCTTTTCGTGTCTTCTGACACCTCCCTCCATCCTTAGCAACTCCTTCCCTGAGCAAAAACGGGACACTGGGATCAGAAGTCACAGCAGGGCTCATGAAATGAGAAGTAGGTGGCAATCGACCCTAATTGATCCGCTGGAAGGACAGCCCTTCTCTGACCGGGTGTATTTCCAAAGGGCTTTCTTCCCCACGACTTCCTCCCAGACAGCTCTGTGGGTAGCTTGGCAGTTATCCCCCTTCGAAACGGAAGCACAGAGCGGTCAAGTAATTTCCCTCACCCCTTTGAGTGAGTCAAATGCAGAACAGGGGTCTTCATTCACTTGTTTAACACGCTCAGCCAAGTAGGAAGCTCCCTCTTGAACATAATAATCAGTTGCCGGTCTTAACGAGCCGGAAGATGAACTTCAGGGCGACCAGAATGGAGAGAGGTTTTAGAAGTGGGGCTTGGCCAGTGAGAAACCCACAGCCAAGCCCTTAGTACCTCGTTTGAAATAGGGTCAATCAAAGGTAGTGGTTCTCAGCTTTAGAAAATTCTGAGGCCTGGGGTCCCACGCCCACAGATTCTGATTGAAATGGTCCTGTGACCTTGGCACTGGGTTGTTTTCTTTTATTTATTGTTTTTAATGTTTATTTATGTGGGGGGAGGGGCAGAGAAAGAAGGAGAGAGAATCCCAAGTAGGCTTCTCCCTGTCAGCGCAGAGCCCGACGCAGGGCTTGAACTCAGGAACGGTGAGATCTGGCACGGGCGGGGGTTAAGACCACCCAGGTGACTCCACTGTGCGGTCAGTGCTGAGAAACTGAGGAATAAGGAATACCTGAGTACAGCATCTGGCCCAAAAAAGTATTAATAAAAATTACTTCTGGGGCGTCTGGGTGGCTCAGTCGGTTAAGGGTCCGACTTCGGCTCAGGTCACGATCTCGCGGTCCGTGAGTTCGAGCCCCGCGTCGGGCTCTGTGTTGACTGCTCAGAGCCTGGAGCCTGTTTCAGATTCTGTGTCTCCCTCTCTCTCTGACCCTCCCCCGTTCATGCTCTGTCTCTGTCTGTCTCAAAAATAAATAAACGTTTAAAAAGAAATTACTTCTGCTTCCCCATCTCTTACTCTGCTGGTTAGGGAAAGCTTTATCATCCCAAAGAGCAGGTGTCGAGGATGCTTCCGAAAGGCCGGAGGAGCATGCTAATCTCCACAGGTGACCCACTGTTGTCCTGTGCTGGGACTGGGAAACACAGGCTGTTGAAAGACTATAGGTCAGTGTTCTCCAGGCGCCAGAGGGAGCAAGCTATAGCATTATTCCTGTGGCAGTGTTTGAATACTCAGGGTCATCTTTCACCTAATAAGTGAGGTTGGAGGCTGTGTTTCGTCCTTAAAAGAAAGTATTTGACAGTTGCCATCAGCTTGTTTTGTCAACATGCCGTAGACAAGTTCTTGACAAATTATTCATCTGTACTCCTGATGACTAGTCAGATTCTTTAGCGATTAGAAGCAGGGCTATGCCACTCCCCTCCACTTAAAAAGCAGCAGCGGGGCCACCTGGGTGAGTCACTCGGTTAAGCGTCCGACTCTTGACTTCGGTTCAGGTCACTATCTCATGGTTTGTGAGATCGAACCCTGTGTCAAGCTGTGTGCTGAATGCAGAGCCTGCTTGGGATTTTTCTCTCTCCCTCTCTCTCTCTGCCTCTTCCCCTGATCACACTCTCTCTTTCTCTCAAAATAAGTAAATAAACTTAAAAAAAAAAAAAAAAGGCAGCAGCATCTACCCCACCTATGTTGCTGACATTTGCTGAGCTTTCTGGCTCTGAGGTTTTAAACCCTGTTGCTCCTTGGAATCACCTGGATGCTTTTTTAAAGTCACTGCACCTGGGCCCCACCTGGAGCTACTCTGATGCGATCATTGGTCTGAAGAGGGTCTCTGGCATTGGTATTTTTTAAAAATCCTTTTTATTTTTTTCAACGTTTATTTTTATTTTTGGGACAGAGAGAGACAGAGCATGAACAGGGGAGGGGCAGAGAGAGAGGGAGACACAGAATCGGAAACAGGCTCCAGGCTCTGAGCCATCAGCCCAGAGCCCGATGCGGGGCTCGAACTCACGGACCGCGAGATCGTGACCTGGCTGAAGTCGGACGCTTAACCGACTGCGCCACCCAGGCGCCCCTAAAAATCCTTTTTAAAGACGTGTTAACTACAGGGTGTAACTACGTGTACACCCAAGGTTGGGAACATGCTACCTCACGTCCAATTTCCCGGCCATCCCCGGTGCCGGGTGGATTTCTCTAAACTCTGGGGTTGGAAGGGCGTGAACTTAAAATTTAATCAGCCTCTTTTCGGTCTTAACCACCATTCTCCATTTTGTAGGCTTGAGACTCCGATCTGTGATCTGACACGGTCTCTTCCCCTAGAGCAGAAATGTTTGAAGTTCAGTGAAATCTTAGCCCTGGGTGAGGAAAATGCTTTCAGAGCAAGTGAAAATACAAGGTTACAAGTGAAAACACAAATCACACCTTCATGACTTGACATAACTAAAAAGTCTACGGGCAGGTTTTAACAGGGAACTAAGGTTGGCCCTTGAATAGCACTGGGGGTTGGGGGTGCAGCCCCCATATGGTCGACAATCTGCGTATAAATTCTGACCCCCCCCCCAACTACTAATAGCCTACTGTGGACCAGAAGCCTTAGTGATAACATAAACAATCGATTAATACTTATTTTGTATGTTCTGTGTATTATATAGAACTCTTTTTTTATGTTTTATTTATTTTTGAGAAACAGAGAGCATGAGCAGGGAAGGGCAGAGAGAGAGAGGGAGAGAGGATCCGAAGCAGGCTTTGTGCTGACAGCAGTGAGCCCAATGCGGGGCTGAAACTCACAGGCTGTGAGATCACAACCTGAGCTGAAGTCAGACGCTCAATCGACCGAGCCACCCAGGTGCTTCTATGTATTGTATTCTTATAATAAAATAAGCTAGAGAAAAGAACATCATGGGGGGGGCGGGCACCTAGTTGCCTCAGTCAGTAGAGTGTGTGACTCCTGAGCTTGGGGTCATGAGTTTAAGCCCCACATGGGGCATAGAACTTAATTTTTAAAAAGGAAAATTATAAGGAAGAGAAAATACATTTACAGTACTGTACTGTAAAAAATCTGCATGTAAGTGGACCTACACACAAACCCATGTTGTTCAGAGGTCAACTATAATTGAATTTAAGAAGCAGGATATTAAAGTTACATTCAGGATCAACCTTTAGAAATATAAGACCTAATTGTACAGTTATAGCATACTGTTTAATGATGTTTATTTTTTTAAGTTTGTTTATTTTTGAGAGAGAGAGAGAGAGAGAGTAGGAGCAGGAAAGAGACAGAGAGACAAGGAGAGAGAGAGAAAATCCCAAGCAAGCTCCACACTGTCAGTACAGAGCCCAGCATGGGGCTTGAACCCACAAACTGTGAGATCATGACCTGAGCCAAAACCAAGATTGACTGAGCCACCCAAGCGTCTCGTCACGTTTATTTTTTTTAAGTTTTTTAAATTTATTGTATGTGAGAGAGAGAGCAAATGGAAGGGGCAGAGGAGCGGGGAGAGAGAATCCCAAGCAGGCTCTGCACTGTCAGCACAGACCCCAATGCGGGGCTCGAACTCACGGACCATGAGAACATGACCTTAGCTGAAACCAAGAATCCGACGCTTAACTGACTGAGCCACCCAGGCATCCCCTATCATGTTTATGTTAAAAGCAAATTGGAGGGGCGCCTGGGTGGCGCAGTCGGTTAGGCGTCCGACTTCAGCCAGGTCACGATCTCACGGTCCGTGAGTTCGAGCCCCACGTCAGGCTCTGGGCTGATGGCTCAGAGCCTGGAGCCTGTTTCCGATTCTGTGTCTCCCTCTCTCTCTGCCCCTCCCCCGTTCATGCTCTGTCTCTCTCTGTCCCAAAAATAAATAAACGTTGAAAAAAAAAATTAAAAAAAAAAAAAGCAAATTGGAACTGATAAATATGTTCTTGCAACCCTCCTATCAATTGTGATAGACCAGAAAGCAAATGTATTTACTCGGGTCTGTCCATCTGATTGATCCTAGGTCTTTGCAGGGTGCAGAACATCCACTGGGTTAAGAAATGGTCTCTGTGCTTCTTGAGGGGATTTTCTCCCATCTTTGTCCAGGAAAGTTATGTCCAGGATCACCACATATAGCTGCACAGGTTGTACACTGAACAACTTGAGGGTTACCATTCATATCACAGTCTTTATGATTGGCAACCCCTTCAGTTGGGTATCACCTGAGTAAAATACCTGCTGTCACTCAGCCTTTTCTATGAGCCAAATAAAGTCCCTCTCCCTTGGAGGGTCTTAGGCTCTGACAGGAGCAAAAACCAGACAAGACCTGTTCAGCATGGAGGCCTGAGGTCTCCAATTCAGATGCCAAAGTGATCACTTGGAAATATCTTTATTCCCCTTGCCTTTACCGGGGGATTCTCTGTTATTTTCTCCCCTAAGTTGGAGGTATCTCTAGAGGGCCTGGTTCCGGAACAAATCATCCCTTTTGGTGATAGTAGTAGGGAGAGGACTCAGTTCTGACACTCCCCAGGGTTCCTGCTCAGAGATGACAGGGGAGCCCTTGGCCGGTGCAGCAGAAATGGTAACGAGGCGCTGAGATCCAAGACTTCAGTGTCCCTCTCCCTCCCCAGGGGACAGAGGCCCAACTTCCAGCCTCAGTGTCGGATTCTTCCACCTCTTCCAGTCTGTCCCCCTGGCTTACCTACGTGGGCAGGCCACTTCTCGTGTTCCCCTACCTGTACTGCGACATGTGACACCTGTGCCCCATAGGGCTCCTGGGAGGGTCACGTGTGGGGGACACTTAGCATCTGGCTCAGGGAAGATTGTGAAAGACCGGTTCCTTCTCTTTCCTCTCTTCCTTCATGCGGTCTGCCCATTGCCCAAAGCCCTTCCGTCCCCCGCCCTCTGTCACCCTCTCTGGGGTCCCCCATTCTGTGCTCAGCCCAGCTCAACTCCTCTTGTGGTTCCAGAAGATGAGCAATGTCCCCACTGCCCTTCACAGAAAGAGGTGGGCACTGCCAGGCTGCGGTGGCTTTTCCAGCCAGAGGGAGAGGAGATGGGGCAGGACAGGCCTGCGGGGCTCCCGGGAAAGCCCCACAGGGGACGCTCGGCCCTCTTCCTCCGGCTGAAGGCCCCCCCCCGCTCTAAACTGCCCAGCTGGCACCCACGGGCTCTCTGGTCTTCTCATTGGTGAACCCCGGGCCCTGCACAACACAGCTTCTGAACCCAGGAACTGGTTCCCCGAGTTGCGGTCTCTCACCCTGCTCAGATTGTGTGCCAAAGCCAGGAGGAAAAGGACACTGCCGACCCCCCCCCCCACCCCGGGGCCTCAGGCCACCTGGGGGCCAATGATGTGAAGGGAGCCACTTGGCCTGACTTCCTGCCCCTCCCCCACGGTTGGTCAGAGGCCCCAGGGCCCATGTCTGGCTCTTCTCCCACAGGCCACTCCTGTCCCCTGCTCTGTAGAACTGCTTTAGCGCCTACATTTGCTTAATCCCCCCTCGCCCAGGTGCTTCCTGTGACCCATAATGACGCTTAGTGGACAAAAGAGAACAGGGGCTCTCCTGGAGCAGGAGAGCAGCCCCAGCTTCCGCCCAGCCCACCGGCCTGACCTATTGCTGCTACTGCTGCTGCTGGGAATCCTGGTGCATGCTGGGAATCCAAGTGCATGCTGGGACTCCGGTCAGTTCCTCCATGCATTTTGGTTTCGCTTGGAACAGTTCCAACCTTGGAACTGTTTGGTTTCTAGTCCGTGGTGTGCACTCCCCGAGATGAAGGTAAGAACTCCGTGGGAACAGAGAGACACCTGAGGACTTGAGTGCGTGGGAACCGGCCACCCACTGCACAAACCCAACTCTAATCCTGAAGACGTCTACTGTGCACCAGCTAGCAAAAAGGATCCACAAGAAAGTGTTCTTGACTTCTTAGGAGGGGACTGACTCTAAGGTCTAGGCTGCTGCTATGAGAGGCGAGAACTAATCCTGGAACATGTGCAAGACGCTGCTCACGTGGATGCCACCCGTGGATATGTCGGGTCCTGAAGGTGGTGCAAACACAGCTGCACACACTGAGGCTTTGCCATATATCGTGATGCCCCATGAGCCAGTGGCACCCATTCATTGAAGCATCTTATCGACCCCCTGGGAAGAAGAGCTTCATAAGACCTTTTAGCAAGTTCCCAGGGGAAGTACCCCAGAAAAAAAACCAGCAGCGGCCTTTATGATATAAATACGAAGAGAGTAAAAGATCCCCAGGTCTCTGGCTTCTCAGAAAGACATGGAAAAACTGGATTAGGAGATCCAGTTCTCACCTTGGCTACTGGATGAAAATTTGAGGCGAAGACCAATGACTTAACAGCTCAAGTCCCACAAAGAAGTTGGATCAGAAAGAACATCTTGGGCCCGAAGAACAGAAGGGAGGAAGAGTGTGCCTGGGAGGAATAAGCCTGCCGTACCTCAGGGTGATAGGTGGCCACTTACTAAGTGGCTCACCAACTTTATTTATTTATTTATTTATTTATTTATTTATTTATTTATTTATTTGAATTAGAGATTGCAGGGGAGAGGGGCGGGGGGGAGAGAGAGAGAGAGAGAGAGAGAGAGAGAGAGAATCTAAAGCAGGTTCCATGTTCAGCATGGATCCCAATGCGGGGCTCAATCCCACGACCCCAGGATCACGACCCAAGCTGAAATCAAGAGTCAGATAGATGGTCAACCCACTGAGCTACGCAGGTGCCCCAGTGGCTCCCCAGCTTCAAACATTGGTTTCCCACTGGCCAGAATGGAGCCCCTCTAGAAACTGTGACTCACTGGAGGTGTCCACGTTCTAAGGCCCTAAGCTGGAAGGAACATGGGAAGATGTTGGGCTGCTTTCTCTTCCTCCCGTGAAGAGAATGATGCTGGCTTCATCTTCGTTAGATACTCTAGAATCTGATTTACTGAAGACAACAATGGTATCTGCAACCCCCCAAAACTGAAGGAGTCTCATGAGAATATCCCATGGTGCCGTTCTCTCCTGGCTCAGTACTCTGCAGACCACTTCAGCTTTTTGTCCTCGTACTCCATGCATGGCTTTGCCCTCTTGCCTTGGTTCATAACCACAGAGAAGATAGGAAAAGAAAAGAGTTCTAACCAGACTTCAAGAACTTGACCTCCAGGGTCCTCGCTCAGCACCATGTTCAGAGCCGGTTCAGACCCCAAAGCCTCTTGAAATAGTCACCGGAGAAGGCATCTTGGAGGAGCCGTGCAATGGGTGTTTGCCTTCAGAAGCACCAGATCTCTTCACCACTGGGAAACCTGGCTGCGGTGCTCCCAGCTTGCCCGTCGAGAATCACACACATCCAGGAAAACCCTTGTTGGATCTTTGGCTCAGCGCTCCAATATGGCGGCAGCAGCAGCAGCAGCAGCAGCAGCAGCAGCAGCAACAGTTCTTAGGAAATCCAGCCACCCCTCCCAGGGCTCTGGAGAGCAGCAGGGCTGGCCACCCGTAAAGAACCTACAATGCTTTCAAAGCTGGAGTTGCTGGCAGGAGTCCTAATGGTGGCCCTTGGTTTCTTGCAGACATTGATGAGTGCCTCTCAAGCCCTTGTCTGAATGGAGCCACCTGCGTGGACGCCATCGACTCTTTCACATGCTTATGCCTTCCCAGCTACCGAGGGGACCTGTGTGAGATTGGTACGGCCGTCTCGGCTTCAGCTAATGTTACTAACTGCTGCACCCCCTCCTTCTCCTTCACCCTTCCCTTCTAACCACAGGCTCTGGGCCCTGGCTGGGGGCCCCCAAGGTCCCTCCAGACAGCCATTTCAGGGGCCACGACCGAGAAGTCTGCCTCACTCACTCCCACTCTTCCTGCTGTTCCTTGTGGCAACCCTCCTCCGGGGCATTGGCTGATCTGACCGCAGGAGAGACACGCAGGCCGGGCCAGCCTGCACTTTGGAAGGTGGGGCTCTGGGGGACCTTTAAAACACTAACCTTCTTCAGGGCTTCCAGACCTGCTGAGACCGCATCGAGGTCGGTGCATGCATCAGACTAAGAGGACAGAGCTGATCCCGTGCCCTTGTCTTGAAGGAAGCTGTGGGTGGGAGTAATTAATTGGTTCTCGCTCCAAATGACACCAAAGATCTTCCAGCAGTCATGAGCATGCGTCTGCCCGCTCTATTGCCCGTGGGACCTCCGCGGCCCCTCTGTGGCCTCGGGAGCCACCATGCCACACTGGCCACGCCGCCTCTCTCCTCTGTGGCAAGAGCTGTGTTCTGTCTGCCTGAGAGCTCCCGTGTCACCAGCAGGCTCAAGTCATGCTTGAGCAGGGACTGCTGCCCGTCACCTTGCCACCACCACCATGGCAGCTGCCACGTCATCAGTGCCACTCCGTCCCATGCTTCCTTTCCCCCCACTCCCGCAAGGCAAAAGGCTGGCCAGAGACGACAGAGCCTCACTGCAAGGGGCAGGGGCTGAGTTTCCCCCTCCTGGGCCTTGCCAACCCCCTGCTCCTGCACCTGGGCCGGGCTCTGCCAGGGGAGCTGTGTGCCCGGAACTTCCCAGGGCCGGCTGGAGCCCTCGGCTCTCTCGCCTCTGGTGCTCCTGGTCTGCCCCCTGCCCTCCAGGATCTCAGGGCCATGCCCACTCAGAAAGGGGGAGATGGGGCTTGTAGTTACTAGTTGCAGTAACCCCCACAGAACTAGAAGCGTGCCGGGGTTCAAAACCATTTTCTATGACCCCTCAAGCTAAATGTCCCAGAAACTTCCAGAAAGCAGATGAAACCCCTGGGCAATCTCCCTTTGGTCCTAAGCAGGGTGGGGAGGAGTTTCGGATTGCATGTTCTCCGGAGGCACCGCTAAGGTTACAGGCCGGTGGAGGAACTTAAGGCTTCTGGAAGAAAAGGCCCGGACCCTCTTCTTTCCCTGCCGCCTCCCACTCTCCACCTCCGCCCCAGGAAACTGGTGCATGGGGTCTTGGCCGGGGGCTGGGAGGGAGGGGGGAGTCATAAGGCTTCTCTCCCCAGGATATCAAAATATTTACGCAGAGGACAAGCATCTGGCGCGTCCTCACGGACAACAGCTCTTAGATGCCAGACCAGGAAGGGAGGTGCTCTGCCAGACTGGAGGCAGGGTCTCCACGGGGCTCTGCACTCTGGCGGGGCACAGAGACGGTGCCGGGTTGCCCGGCTAAGCCAAGCCAGGCTCCGTCTCTTCTCCCGGTTCTGTCCCGCGGGTGTTTCATGGCTCAGCTCCTGGCCCTGCTGCTCCTTCCGGGCTCCCTGCAGTTCGGTCAGTGTCTCCCCAGAGCCACCATCCTGCATGCCCCGCACCCTCCCAGAGCAGCTGTGGCCTCCGGGTTTGCCTGCTCAGCTCGGCCCTCAGCCCTTCCAAGCCCTGGAATGAGGTCTCTGGTCTCCCCCGGACGCCGAGCTACCTCTTTGCCGGCACCTTCTTTCCAGACCTTGGCCTCGCTCCATGGAGAAGCAATTGGCTGCAGGGGACCGGTGACCTTCCCCCCCAGCCCTCCTGCTGCTTGACCTCTTCTCCTCAGGCTGCTGGCCTCTGCCTGTCCTCTCTTTCTGCCTTCTCCCGCGTGTCTGTCTTTCAGTCCTGCCAAGCACCCACCCCTCAGCCTAAGCCTCCTTGCCCTCAGGTCCCGGTCCCCCCCCATCCTGGGTCAGCCAGACTATCGGTAGCACCCAGTAAAGGAGGCTCCATTCGGCCTGAGGGGTTCCTGGCCCTGCACTTGGCCCCCAGGCCTGAGCAGCAGCCCTCCCCACCCCCAGGAGAAGGAGGAGGAGGGGGTCTTAGAATTCCCTCTGTCTGCTGGTGTGCTGGCTGCTGTTTAGCAACTGACTCCTGAAGAGGAAGCAGGAGCCCTGACGCATAGCGCCTGCCAATCTCCCAGGTTTATAACACTCCCGCCAGGACCAATTTCCGGCTACCAGTGAGATGTCGCTGGGGGCAGAGATGGGGAGACGCACTGCCAAGAGCCGGCTCCTGCCCCTGCCTCCGTCCGTCCCCTCAGCCTGCTCCAAGATCTCCAAACCAGTCCCTTCCCCTGAACTCAGAACCCATTACCCACATAGGTTTGTGAGGAGAGAAGCTCCTCCCTCTTTTCACCTGCTCTCCAGAAATTAAATAAAAAGCCGGGGCCCCTGGGTCAAGGACCCCGGGTTGGCTACCTCCTCCCCTAAGAAAGAGGCAGATATCCTGGGCGCAGCTCAGATGGACAGACTTAGAGCTTTGAGTCATCTTTAAACCCAAAGCAGACTTACTTCTGTCCCTCTGTCCCCACCCGAGGTGCCGTTTCACGCCCCCGGCGCTGCCTGCAGCTCCCTGCCTCCCTCACACACTCCCTATAGCTCCCTGCTTCCCTCCCCGGGGCTCCTGGGAGCCTCTGACCCATGTTGGGCCTCAACCTCAACACCTCCCACCTCGCCACCTCTTTTCTCCAGCCCTGCAGAGCAGAAAAGCTCTGGGGTGGGGTGGGGGTGGGGGGCGACATCAGGGAGAGAAAGGGTGGAGATGTGCCCAGAGGCTCTGGGGCTCTGGGGCCAGGCCTTCCTGGCTTCCAACTTCAACCTCATCCGTATGGGCCTCTCCCTTCAAGGACGGACACTGAAGGCCGGGTGGATGTAGGAATCTGGCGAGAGACTGGCGGCACTGGGCACGCCCAGTCGGCCCCGGGGCCTCTCTCTTCAAGCCCCCGACCTGTGTTGCAGACCAAGAGCTGTGTGAGGAGGGCTGGACCAAGTTCCAGGGCCACTGTTACCGCTACTTCCCCGACCGCGAGAGCTGGGTGGATGCGGAGAGCCGGTGTCGGGCACAGCAGTCACACCTGAGCAGCATTGTCACCCCGGAGGAGCAGGAGTTTGTCAACAGTGAGTGCGGCGGGGCCTCACCCGCCAGACGTCAGCAGACTTGGACCCAGAGAGGCCGCAGGGGTGGGAGGCGGGGGGGGAGAGGGGGGGGTTGCAGGGAGGGGTGGAAGGGTGTTTCCGCAACCAGGGCCGCACCGGAAGCCCATCACGTGCCACGGTCAGTGCCAGACTAAGCCCGTGGCTGTCACCAGTCTTCACCAGCTTGGGTGGTGGCTGAAGTGCACTCCGGACGTGCATGTGCGGAGAGCCTTGTCAGGGCCTTAGAAGTAGGTGTCGTGCTCCCAGGAGCCCGCCTACCCCCTGCCACCCCTCCATCCTCTCTGCCTCGGTTTATCAGACACCCTCAGGGTGTCCAGCACCATGCCCAACACCCACACCTCTCTCTAGACAATGCCCAAGACTACCAGTGGATCGGCCTGAACGACAGGACCATCGAAGGGGACTTCCGCTGGTCAGATGGACACTCCTTGGTGAGCCCCGGGGAAGAGTTGGTGGCCCAGAGGAGGGGAGGGAGCAGAGACCCCCAGAGAGGGACATGGTCAGACCACATACACTCACCGAGCAGCTGCTGGGCTGGGAGCCCTGGGGGCAGGGACCGTGTGTGGTTCATCTCTGCCTCTGGAGACCGGCCCAGGGCCGGGCAAGTCGAGTGAACACCGGCTGGGAAGAGGGGGACGAGGAGGGCAATGATGGAATGAAGGCACGCCACCAGAAGGGCCACGTGGAAGCTTTAGAGGGCTCCCTTGCCCGCAGAGGACTCGAGTCTGCCCGAGGAGGCAGGCAGACGGAAAGCAATATAGATGCCAAGTAGACAGTACGTGTACTCAGCGCTACAGGTCAGCCGAGGACATCAGGGAAGGCTCCCTGGAAGAGGTGAACGGCCACAGAGCCATGTCTCTACGCCCAATCCTACCTAAGCGAGGCAGCAGTGAGACCAGCCCCTGCCGGGGGGGGAGCGGCATGGGCTCATGGTGAGGGACTGAGAAGAAGGCGGCGTCAAGCTCCTGCCTTATCCTCACCCCTGCCCCCCTCCACCCCACCCCCGGCAGCAATTTGAGAACTGGCGCCCCAACCAGCCGGACAACTTCTTCGTCAGCGGAGAAGACTGCGTGGTGATGATCTGGCACGAGAAGGGAGAGTGGAATGACGTTCCCTGCAATTACTACCTGCCCTTCACGTGTAAAAAGGGCACAGGTGAGCAGCCACCTGGGAGGGGTCCGGCCTGGTTGGAGTCAAGACTTTCGGCTCCTGCCATGGGACCTGGGGGGAGTCCCCCTGTCTCCTGGCTGCTGATGGCCCTTCACCGCCGATCTGGGGGGTCTAGTGTCCCAGGGCCAAAGACAAGAGCAGGTCCACTCCTAGGGACCGTTGACAGGGACAGGTGATGGTCACAGGCTGGAGGACAGACCAGCCCCTAAACACACACACACACACACACACACACACACAGAGTCCCCTGGGCACCGACACAAGAAAGTCACCCACGATGGCACATGGGTGGGGAGCCCCATTCTCTTTGGTTGTCAGGCCCCCATCCTCAGCTCAGAGTCTGGGGATATTAGAGGTGCTGGTAGAACTTGCCCCTCCTTTCCGTCCCTCTTCCCTATACTGGCCGTTTTCGTAAAGAAGTCGCAGAAGATCTGCCTGGCTTTCCCCACCGTTCCCACCTTTCTCCGTCCCTGTTGTCTTTTCCTCACCCCCTCAAGACCCTCCTTCTATTCCCACCCTGCTGGTCTAAATCACTGAGAACCCCAGACATTATAACCAGTGGCTTCCAGATTCTCGGCACGCCGTGAAAATGCCCCTTTGCCAGCCACCAGGGCTGGTGGCCGGGTGTCCAGGCTCAGTGCCCCTTCCTTGGGCTCTGGGCTGTCTCATCGCAGCCACAGGGGACCATGCGGGCTCATCACTGGCATGCGTCCCTCTGAGAGCTCTTTCTCAAGGGTGTTTGCCCCTCAGTGGCCTGTGGAGACCCCCCGGTGGTGGAGCACGCCAGGACCTTCGGGCAGAAGAAGGACCGGTACGAGATCAATTCCCTGGTTCGGTACCAGTGCACTGAGGGCTTTGTCCAGCGCCATGTGCCCACCATCCGGTGCCAGCCCAGCGGGCACTGGGAGGAGCCTCGGATCACCTGCACAGACCGTGAGCACCACCCCTCTCCACCCTCGCCGGGCACAGCGTTAGATCCTGCCCCCCTGTCCTCCTTCCTGTTCCGGCAGCACAGCAGCAGCTGGCCCTCGCCTGGGGATCCTGAACACCAGCTGTCTGCACCATCCCTGGGCTCAATCACACTCTCCCCCCCCCCCCCCCGCCCTCAGGGAGGGCTCGCTTTCGGGCGAGGATGAAGGAAAGCGCAGGTGGCCCGCTTTCCCTTCTGACAGCACCTCAAAGCCCCTTTAGCCCAAGTTGGTGCCAAGAAAAAATCAAAACCAGAGAGCGGGGAGGTCAGGTTGCCTCCTCGAGCCCATGCTTTCTGCGGGGAGGGGAGGCGACAGAGAAGGGGCGAGCGGGGAGGGGTGAGGCCGGCCCAGCTCCCTTCCAAGCGGTCAAGATTCCCCCGTCTCCCTTTCACTGCAGCCTCCACGTACAAGCGCAGACTACAGAAGCGGAGCTCACGGCCCGCCCGGAGGAGCCGCCCCAGCACTGCCCACTGAAAGCATCCCGGACGCGCCCAGGATGCTGAGCCCAGGAGCCTCGCCAGGCTGACATCCCACACGGATGGGGTCCTCTTCTTGTCGCTTTCTGTCATATAAGGAATTCCATTAAAGAAGGAAAAAAACAAATCCCACATTGTGTATGCACCCACCCAGCCCCCCCCACCCCCTCCCAAATCGCCCGAACTGCATCTGATTTTCCCCCCAGTGCCAAAGCCAAGCAAACGTATTGTAACCCGTGGACTGAGTTTAGAGACATTTCTTCAATCTCCCGTTGTGCCTTTCCAGGGACCAGCGCAGGGACAGGGGGAGAAGGGGAGGGGTTAAGTTAAATAAAGAAGATTATTTTTTGTTTCCTGACTTTATCCAAGAGCAGTGCAATCGTTGGTTCTTTCACCTCCAGGGAGAGCTAGGGAGGAGGGAGGGAGGGAGGGGCACGAAGAACTGGAGCCCAAACCGCAGCTGAATGTATTGGATGAGGACCCAGGAGGGCCGCACCATCTGCATCCAGGAGGGAGAAGCCTGGGAGAGAGGGGGCGGGTTCCGCCGAGGGTGAGGGGGCAGGAGAGAGCCATGGAGGGATCTTCCGCTGCGTGGGGGCCAGGTTCCCTCCCAGGGTCCCTCTTCCAGCGTCCTCCCACCCGGGTCTGCCACCAGAGCAGGTGTCGATCTCGGCAGGGCTGGGTGGGGGGCACTTCCTTCCCAGGGGGAGTGCCCCCCACCCCCTCTCCCCCCTCCCCCACCCCCGGGACTGTGCAGGCACCAGAGTTCCGTGCACCTATTTATATTTTTGAAAACGAGATTATGATAATTATAATAATAAAGACATTGGAAGAGATCTATTTCTTTTCTTTTCCCTTCTTTTTTTTTAAGAGAAGGCAACCAGGGTCTGAGGACTACCGAAAGGGGCTCTTAAGGAACGGAGGCAGTTGGGACGCGTTTTGAGCAAATGATCCCGAGTTGGGTGAATCTTGTCTGTCCAGAAGGCCTGGAATAGTCACACCTGTTGTACTTTATTTTTGTGAGGGTGCCTGTACGTTTGGTGGACGGTGTGTGTGTGAGAAAGCCAACGGGTGCTGTGCGTGGATTTGCAAGCTGGCACGTGGTCAAAGGACCATGACCATTAACTCACTTGAGTTAATGAGACATCTGGTCACTTTGCATAGTTTGGTTCTTTGATGGCACACTGCTCACACAGGAGTTGGTGGGTAGAGTAAGTCAAGAGCAGAGGCAAAATCAGGATTTATGAGAGGGAACGAAAACAGTTGACGACAGCCTGGAAACGGTGAATCTTTGCCTACACGTAGTTGTGGTTAGCTAGTTAGCTGGCCACCGGCAAAAAGGTCTGGGCATCCTGCCCTTAAGTAGGCTGTAGGATATCAACGAAAACGGTTTCTTTTCTTTTCTTTTTTTTTAACATTTTATTTATTTTTGAGACAGGAAGAGACAAAGCATGAACAGGGGAGGGTCAGAGAGAGGGTGACACAGAATCTATGCAGGCTCAAATTTGAAAACCACAGACATAGTGGTGGGCTCGAACCCACGGACCGTGAGATCATGACCTGAGCCAAAGTTGGCCGCTTAACCGACTGAACCACCCAGGCGCCCCTCAATGAAAATGATTTCAATCGCTTATGGATTCCCCCAACAGACCTTGAGTTGGGACTACATCAGAACCAAGAGGGTTTGTGACTTAGCTGGTCTGGGGCCGAGACATTTGCATTTCTAGTAATTTCCCAGGGATGCTGCCTGGCCACACTTTGAGAAGCAAGGGCCTACGTGAAGAACAGGCTGTGTAACTTACTGAGAGTGCCCGGGGTGTGCCCCAACAGGGGCAGCGGGTCTGGCTTCCTGAGGCTGGGGGAGGGGGAGCAGAGGGTGAGACACAGAGGGGGCTGGTCTCTGAGATCCTCGGGGTGGGGCACAGCCTCCTCTGTCCCCTGAGAGGCACCTCCCTCTCTTCTGGGCCCAGACACAGGGTCTGGGAGTAGAGATGGCGGCAAAGCCGGCCGGGGCCTCCAGCCGCAGGGCCAGCACCGACACAGGCTGTGCCACGGGGCCGGTGAGCCAGACCGAGCCTCCTCCAGGCTGAATGAGGCCGAGAGCCAGACACGGGGAGGGGCCGCGTCTCAGCACCATTCATCATCCCAAGAAAGTACACACACGTGAGGGCCGCTCCCCAAACGGGGAAAAGTGAGAACAGAATGCAGGTTCTTTGGAATGAAGAGAGAAAGTAACACTGGGGAGGGAAACCGCTCCCTTTCCTGGGACTCCACACAGAAGTCGAGGGACCCGTGTCCTCCTCAGGGGTGCTGACCTGAGCCGGCAGCTCCACCGACAAGTGGGAGCAGGCGGGAGACCACAAGGCCCAATGCCCAGCCCCACCCCCCACGCCCTGCCCTGCCCCGCCCCCAGGCTGAGGGGGAGGGGAGCCGCAGCCACCACAGGTCATTGCCCCCTCTGGGTGGTGCTGGCCTCTCTAGGGCAGGGACAGGGGTTACATTCAGTGATGGCAGAGAGCCCTCCTGAGCCCATGAACCTCCAATGTCCTGGAGGAGAGGGGCAGAGGGATTCCTGGGGAGAGGGGAGAGCCTTGAGGTCTCCGCCAGAGCAAAGGGAGGATTTGGAATCTTGGATTTACCAAAACACACACAAAAAAAAAAACTCAGCAATTTCAAAATTTGTTTTTAATTTGAGAAGTATAAAAGCAATACAAAAATGGCCCCAACCTGCAAGGAACAAGGAACCACTCAATAAATAGAGCCTGAGAGGGGAGGGCGCGGGGCCCGTGCGGACAGCAGGTGCGCGGGGACTAGCGTGGGCGGTAGCAGTAAACGCCGTACCTGCGGCTGCGCGGGTCTGGGAAGCCGAAGCTTCGGACGCCAGGCTCCAGGGGCCCGCAGTTGGGACGCGGGTGAACCACAGGGTAGCGGGCGCTGCCATCTGCCAGCCAGCCGGCATCACAGCGGTCCAGGCCACGGAACTTCCAGGCGGCAAAGAGCTGGCCCACCTTGGCAATCCGGGCGCCATCTTCCTCGCAGGCCTCCTTGGCCTCGGCCAGCGTCAGCTTCTCAGGGTGGTCCAGGTAGTACACCTGCCCTGTGGGAAAGTGGGGTGTGAGGGCGGGGCAGCGCAGGGGGCAGCCAGAGAGGACGGGGGGAGGGGGGAGCTGCAGAAATGCCAGTCTCCAAAGGCCTAGCAATTAGGAGCCCAGGGTGTTCTGCCATGGATATTCAGGGGATACCTTCCCAGTTCTGACCCCCTTCTCTGAGAGTCCCATCCCATCTGCTATGGGGCTGGGGTCCCTCCAGTCCCTCCAGTCGTGTCTGTGCTCCACCCCACTCTTAATTGCACCCTGGGTGGGCACCCCACCTAGGCTGGACCAATCGGAGTCTCTCGCCCACTCAGTCATTTACTGAGCACCTACTACGTGCCCGGACACTCTTCTGAGTGACCGTGAATCCATGTCTGTTTTTATCTTCCCATGAAATGATCCTCTTTGTGGGACAGACGATGCTGTATTTGTCTACGATGCCCAGAGCCTAGGCTGGGCCCTAGCACGCAGTAGGCTCTCAAAACACATCTGATGAACGAGGAAACCAGCGATTGGTGTGAAACAGCAGCAAAGCACTCAAACACTCAGCCAGACGTGGCTTCAGTGTCGGCAGGTGCTCCAGACCTCCAGGCGAAGGTGCGGGCAGAGTGGGCAGGGAGGTCCTAACGTTCCCCCAGATGCCGCCCTCCCACCCCTGGCCTGTGCCTGGCCACGGCACTCACCCTTGAGGGCAGCGGAGAAGCAGAACACGTCATAGCGGTGCAGGCGGCGGTGACGCGGGCCGTAGCTGCGCACCCCGGGCGCCAGGCCCAGGCCACCGCAGGGCTGCCGGGCCAGCGTGACGGGGTACTGCACCGAGGCGTCCTGCAGCCAGCCCGCGTTACACCAGTCCAGGCCCTCCTCCCAGGCCCGGAATAACTGCTCGAAGGAGGCCACCACCGCGTCCTGCTCCTCACACGCCCGCTGGGCCTCACGGAAGTTGAGCAGGTAGCGGCCCTGGGGGTGCTGGTAGGGAAAGACCACACCTGGGGAGGGAGGACAGAGGGGCTGGAACGGGTGGCCCAGCCGGCTGGAGACCCCGGTCCCTGCCCCCGGCACTCTGAAAACACGTAGTAGCTGGTTAAGCTCATGAACGGATCAGCCAGTTAATGTCCCCACGTATAGAGTGGGAATGCCACCTAATTCACAGGGCTGTCGCAGGAACCCCAGAGCTGTGGTCTCCATTGTGTCCCCCCCCCTCGCCCCCGCCCAGATCATATGTTGAAATCCTGAGGCCTGATGTGATGGGATCAGGAGGCCACCCTCAGGAGGCACTTAGGTCATGAGGGTGGCATCCTCGTGAATGAGATGATGCCCCCTCGCTCCTTCCACCCTGTGAGGACACGGCGAGCAGTCTGTGACCTGGCCGAGGGCTCTCACCTGCCGGTGCTGGCATCCTCCCATCCCCACCGGCCCCGCCATCAGGGATAAGGAATGTGACCCCTCCGGCCGCCAGGTGGGCTAGGGAGGCGGGTGCTGATGGTAAGAGCCCTTGACTTGCATTTTATGTTCAACTTCTCAGAAGAAGGCACAGGAGGCGCTACCCCCATCCCTCATCTCACGCGGGAGGGGACGGGAGCTCCCAGGGGATGAGGCATCTACCCAGGACGCCAGGCTGGGAGGGGGTGGATGTGGGGCCTGAACACGGTTCTCCGTCCGTCCCAGCCGTCTCCCTAACGGGTAGGAGAGGTCTGAGGACGCACAGCCCTGTCCTAGGGACAGAGACGGGACTGTCCACTGGAGCCCGCACACAGGGCCTGGCTGGTTTGGACAGCACTGGTTTGTGACTGTTGGGTTTTTTTGGTTTGGGGTTTTCGTTTTTTAGGAGAGCCTTACATAAAAATCCAGAGATTTCACGTAAAAATATACACTTCTCTTGTCAAATCAGAAACCCTGGCTGCACGGACTCTGCTTCCGGACCTGAGTGGGGCACTCCTTTGGGATGGGATGAGGGTTCAGCCACTGAGTGGAGGGTTCAGTCCCCCCTACTCCTGTCACTCGCACCGGGCAGCCTCTTTGGTTTTGGGAGCGTCTCCGCTCCGTCTCTAATTGGCTGTGGGGCCAGTTCCTCTGAAGAGGGTGTGAGCCAGAGGGAGTAGAGGGTTCTGGAGCCCAACTGCCTGGGGTCGACGTCCTACGCTGCCATTCATGAGCTGTGAGACCTTAGGGAAGTTACTTGATGCCCCTGTGTCTCTGTTTCCTCATCTATAAAACCAGACTGATGATAACAGCAGGTCCTGAGGACTGCATGCTTGTCTAACGCACAGAGTT